GCCTCAGTTTCCTCCCCCGCTGATCTTGGCAACAGACAACAGGAAGCTTAATTGATGTTTTCAAACCAGCTTTTGAGAGCTGAAGATGAAAAGGCACAAACAAAAAAGAAAAGCATTGACTGGCGTGTTCAGTGTTTGTTATAGCTGTTAAAAAGCCCTGAGCTCCCTGGAGTCCTGCACTGCTGGGCCCTCAGCAAGGATAAAAACATAAATCAACTCTTACCCTGAAAATCCCAGCAAACAGGAGAAGCAGAAAGTTTCATCATCAGGTGTCTGCAGGGCCTGGCACGGGCTGAGGTGGGAGAGCACAGTAACCTCCATGTGGGGAGGGGGAGTTTTGCCAAGAAAACATCAGGAAGATGATGATGATGATGGTTTACACCACAAACAGCACATCCTGCTTCTCTGGGACTTGGTGACAAAATCTGTGACCCCTGCAGGGAGCAGCCCCAGGGCTGGGGGACACAGGGGGGCTCACTCCTGTCCCAGCACCCCATTCCCAGGCAGCTCCAGTGCTCGGCCTCCATGAGCAGCTCCTTGAGCAGGAACAGCTCTGGGGCACGGGGGGATTTTTGGCGGGGCTGTGCAGGGCCAGGGGTCCCAACTCAGGGTATTCCAGGATCCCATGGTCCCAAAGCCAAAGCACCAGGGGATGGGACACCCTCTGACAGATCCTGTACGAGGTCTGTCCCTCCTGAGGGGACAAACAGCAACTCCCAACACCCGCCATGGCCACGAGGGGACCCCAGCCCCTCAGGCGACCAGAGCCCGTCAGGGGACCCCCAACCCTCACCTGCAGCCCCGAGAGGACCCCAGCCCTTCACCTGCAGCCCCCAGGGAACTGCAGCCTCCACAGGGGACCCCAGCCCCACAGGGAACCCCAGCCCTCACCTGCAGCCCCCAGGGAACCCCAGCCCCACAGGGAACCCCAGCCCTTCACCTATGGACCCCAGGGGACCCCAGCCCCACAGGGGATCCCCAACCCTCACCTGCAGCCCCCAGGGAACCCCAGACCCACAAGGGCCCCCAACCCTCACCTGCAGCCCCCAGGGAACCCCAGACCCACAAGGGCCCCCAACCCTCACCTGCAGCCCCCGGGGGACCCCAGCCCCACAGGGGACCCCCAACCCTCACCTGCAGCCCCCAGGGAACCCCAGCCCTCACCTGCAGCCCCTCCCCGCTGAGCTCCCCTGCCATTGGCTCCTGATTCCCTCAGCCCCGCTGCCAATCACCCCGCGGGGTATTTAACTGGGGCGGCGCCCCGTGCTCCCAGTCTCACCAGTGCTCCCAGTCATACCGGTGCCGGGCGCGGAGGAGGCAGGTAAGGCTGGGCTGGGGGGTGGGAGCTGCGGGTGGGGGGTTCCCCAGGCTGGCTGGGTGGCCCCGGCTCGGTCCCCACAAGAGCTGTGGCTCAGAGCTCCCTGGGTGTGCCCAGGACCCTTCAGCACCCTGCAGAGCAGGAGCTGGGTGCTGTGTCCCTGCTTTCTCAGTTCTGTTCTGTCTGGGGCTTTGCTCTCTGAGGCCAAAGGTGGCATTTTCTGGTGTTGTGATGTGTCTGCCTTGGGTAACAGCTGAGAGGCTTGGGGGGGGTGGAACCAGGTGATCCTTTCCAACCCAAACCATTCCCTAAAGGCTCCTTCCCAGCTTTGAGATGGCTCCTTGGTGACTCTGTGCATCTCTGACCTGTGATGGAGCACTTTGGGGTTTAAAAGCTCTGTCCTGCTTCTTGTTTGCTGGGGATCCACAGAAGGTGACTCCCAGCAGTCACCTGCATGTGCACGGGTGATGGTGGGGACAAGGTGGATGCCCCGGGTGCAGGTGACACCCCGGGGACAGGAGGTGCAGGTGACCAGCCCGGCATTCCCTTCCTGTGACAGCGCTGCCAGCCCTGCCCGCGGCTGTTTCTCGTGATGCTCTGGTGGAGGCACGGGAGCTGAGTGACACAAGAACTCCTGCTCGGGAGCACCCTGTCCCTGCACGGCTCTGCCAGCCCCCAGAGGCAGCTTTGGCAAACGGGATTAGCGTTTCCCAAGACTAACAAGGCTTTAAATGTGGTCATGACTACCCTGAGCTGTGGATGGATGGGAAGGATTGCAGCTCCTGTAGCTGGTTCTGCTGAAAATTCCAGATGGGAATGTGCTGAGCTGATTGCTCTGCAAGTTACAGCTTCCAGATGAAACCAAGAACTCTGTCCTCATGGAAAGATTGGGAAGCCCTGAGAAACTCTTTCAGTTAAAACTTCCTCTCCTCTTTCATAAAATATCTCTTTTCCAAGCAGTTACTGACCCGCTGGTGTTTAATTCTGCTGGAGGTGTGTGGGGGAAGCCCTGCATCCATCAGCAAGGGTGGCTTTGATCTTTGAGGGTTCCCAGTGCTGCTGGTTTATCCAGAAAGGTGAGATGGGCACCTCTGCCAGCCCTGGAAACTACTGTCCTCAGGTCAAAGCCGGGAATCGTTTGATCTTCCTCCTAAAACTAATTCTGTCCTCAGAGCATTTGCAGCCCATTCTCCACAGACATCCCATGACCCAGCTCTGCATTTTTGGGAATGGGGTATCAGTGGTAAATCTCGAAAAGAATGTAAATAGGTGCTTTAACCACAATTGAATTCCTGTGCCCTGATTAGCCCTCCCTGCTCACATCTAAAGCACTAAATTTAGTTTGTTTTCCTCAGTGGTCATTAAGGAGTTGCCAGTTAAGCCACGGAACCAGCCATGCTGGCTGTGGCTCGGTTTATCTCCCAAGGTGAAATCCCTTGGAAGGGGGGGAAGCTTCCTGAACGTGAAGATGCTGCAGGAGCCCACAGCAGCAGCCTGTTCTGATGGAGCTGAGCTGCTTCCCACAGGGAAACCTCCCAGGCAAGGGGAGCAAAGAACCAGTTTTACATGAACAGGTCAGTGCCAGAAATCAGGGAGCCAGCCCTTGCTCCTTCACTGACTCCAAATGGGCAATGATCAGGGGTTCAGCTCCTGAAACCAGACAATCTCTTGACCTTGATGCCAGAAAAGAGCACTGAAGTTTCATTGTTCTGACACCACCTGTTGCAAGAGCTTTCTCCAGCAGTGACCTAATATTTCAGATGTAGCAATGGTGTGAAGTCATCTGCTCATCACTTTCATATGAAGGAAACCACAACCAAACCAAAGTGCTGCTGTTTCTGTTCCTCTGCCCACTGGGATTTCCACTCCCAGCCATCCTGGCTTGGCTGTGGCTTCTCCAAAGGATTCAGAACCACCTGACCCAGAATTGCCAAGCACTGGGCTTTCCTGCAATCTCTGAAGCAAAGCAAGAGCTGCTCAGCATTTCTGCAGGGAAAAAGAAAATAAAGCCATGCTGTGGAGATCTGCCCACACTGCAAATCTGGGTCTTGCAAAACATGGATTTCTCCTCCACAGTGCAGAACAAACCTTGTTCCAACATGACTGTGCTGAAGGATTGTCCCTGGCAGGCTGCATCTATAATCAACACAGGATCTCTGTACTTCAGAGGTTGAGCTAACCTTACGGCAGTTTTTACATCAGCCAAGAAGTTACTCCTGAATTATTCTATCCAGAGTCCTCTCCTCTTCCCTTTGCTGCTGTCTCTGTGCTGGCCCTGACACCAAGGCCACCACAGTGTCAAACTCCACAGTCTGAGCTTTTTCCACCTGTCCAGAAGGAAAATAACTGAGCAAAGGGGTTGTTTGTGATGGTGTTGAAAGAGCTGTGCTTTGCCCTGCGAGGCTCCAAAGAAATAACAAAGCTGCCCTGAGGCAGAGCAGGAGGGACAGCCCCTGACAGCAACCCTGTGGACTTTGGGACTCAGATTTGTTATTCAGCCTTGCTTTTTTGGAGCAGCTTTTCACAACTTCTCCCAGCCTGGTGAGGATCCAGTGGTGGTTAATAATAGATAAACAGGGAGGGCTCCCAGATTCTCACTGGAGAGGCTGCAGGTGACAACTTGTGTGACACTTTTGCTATAGGCATGGGGCACTGCTCAAATCTCACAGAATTCTGACTAACTCAGTGGTTAATGCAGCAAATATTTGGTGTTTTGCCAAGTCACCTCCTGAGATGTCCCTGGCCAGTGGCAGAGCCCATCCAGGCTCACAAATGCTGGTTTCACTACTGCTCTCCATCTCTCTGTTCCTGTTTCTCAGCAAAATCAAAACCTTGCACGAGGCAAAGAACACAAGAAACAAGACAATGGGCTCCACCACAACTCAGATGGAAAGCTTTTTTGGGAAGAGTGTGCCAGTGAGCCTGGAGCAGTGCATGGCTTGGAAATCCAGCTTGGGAGGAATTCTGGTTTGAGGGTTTTCCACTGGAAAATGTCATAGCAAATCTAAGAATAGGAGTTAACTGGCAAAGGACAGAAAAGCAGACTCTGTCCCAAAGAACAAATGTGCTGAAATCCCTGCTGTGCCTGGCTAAGGCTCAGAGTAATGCTGGCTTTATTACCAACACAGGAGTGTCCAGATACCATAGGAGATCTGTGCTGGGAGACCAATACTCATTCAGATTATTGCAACATTTTATACTTCTTCAATCCCATTATGTCATGAGAACGTCTCTGAGCCTCGGTTTCACAGGAAGTGAGATTTCCTGCCCTGCTGCTCAGTAGGATGTGAAGGCAAGTCTCCAGGTAGCCATGGAATGCTGCAGCTGGGAATCCTGGCTCACCCTCCAGGGAAAGCTCCACAGGATTTCCATGTCCTTCCCAGACTGGGTGGATTGTTGTATTTTCTCTCCCTTGCCCAGCTGAGGAGAGGGTGATGGAGTTGTTTTAGTGGGTACCTGGTGTCCAGGCAGGGTCATCCCACCCCACAGAGCAAACACAAGACAGATAAAATAGTTCTCACTTATTCCTAACCTGACGTTTCCTGGGAGCAGCTGAATGATGGATGCCAGCTTTGTTGCCCTCTGCTTTTCCCCTGTCCTGGCAGGATTTGGTTTCTTTGGAGGCAATGAAGTTGTGCTCACGATAATCTTGTTTTTCCTTCCAGCTGCAGCTGAAGTCAGTATGGCCTCAGGAAAGACCCCAACCCCAGACCTGCTGAAGGCTGAGGAGCAGCACACTGTGGTAGGTGCCAGGGCACCCACAGCAGTTAAATCACCCACTCACATGTACTAAACCTCTGCCAGCACCCCAAAACCAGGCTGGGGGGACAGAAAGATTAGCCCTGTGAAGCTGTGGCCAAATCAAAACCCTCTCAGTGCAGAATTGTTTTGCTCAAGAGACACCTTCAGGGCTGGCCAAATGATGCAAGTATTTCTGAAACAGGAGCTGTTACAGGTCCTGCTTCACACCTGGTTTGGTGCTGAAATCAGTGTGACTCAGAGTTCACTAGCACAGAGTTCAGAGTTCTCAACCCTGGCTTGTTGGAGGCCTCTGGATGAGCTGAGGGATGAGGAGAGGGATTTGCTGGGACCCTTCTGGACAGACAATGGGCTGTGTTCACCACCAGCTCGGGCTTGGCTCTAATGTCAGCGTTTCTCTTGGCTTTAGAGTGCTGTCAATCGAGTCACCAACCTGCCCTTGCTCAATTCTGCCTTCAACCTGGTCTCCTCTGCCTACAACCAGACCAAGGAGTGCCACCCCTGCCTCAGTGGTGTCTGCAGCGTGGCTGAGACCGTGGCAGCCGTGGCTGTGGGCAGCGTGGTCGGAGGGGCACAGCCCATCCTGAGCCAGCTCGAGCCACAGAGTAAGTGCAGGGCTGGGGGACCCTTGGGGCAGGAGGGCAGGGGAGGTTCAGGTGCCTCCAGGGTGATCCCACCTCCCATCCCTTCTCCTCTGGCTCTGGGCCTCCCACCCAGCAGCTCCTGGACACTGGATTGCCTGGGAATGAAATTGTTTCCAGCAGAAGTTTGATTTCTTGAGGTTACAGAGCAGTAACTCCCTGCTCGCTGGCTCTCACTGCACGTTCTGACCATCCCAGGGCTGGAACAGAGCTCAGTCTGGCTATCCCAACACTTTTCAACCCTTTAAACCCACCAAGGGCAGGTGCTACAGTGCAATTGGATTAAAGTCTGCTGTTAGAAAGCTGGGAAGGCAAAATGGAGATTATTTGAACTTGCTGAATTTTAGGGTTTGTTCACTTTTAACAAGACGCCCACACACATCCCACCCTAGAATGGGGATTTATTTTTCTGGGTCTTGTTTTCATGAGTATATCCTGAAATAGCCATTGTAGGGTCAAAAACCCATCCCCAAATGTAACAATCAACTGGTGCCTGTTGTCCCTTCAGTTGCTCTTGTGAATGAATATGCCTGTAAAGGTCTGGATCAGCTGGAGGAGAACTTGCCCTTCCTGCAGCAGCCAGCAGACAAGGTAAGGAAAGGCTTTTCCTGGGGAAGCCATGGCTTGGTGGGACTGCTGTGGGTACAGAAGAATATGGGGAAATAAATAAAGCTCAGCAGCAGGCAAAGCCAGAGAGGTGTGAACATGTCCATGAGGTGTGCTCACCTCCCTGGCCCTCCCACACACTGCAAGCACCACTAACCCAAGTGGAAAAGCTTTTTCAGGGAGGGAAAATATATTTTGGAACAACAACAACAAAATCTTTCTCTGCCTCTCCCTGGTGCAGGTGATCTCAGACACCAAGCAGCTGGTGGCCACCAAAGTGACATCTGCTATGGACGCTGCCTGTGAGGCCAAGGAAGCGGTGGCTGATAAGGTCACTGAAGCTGTGGACCTCACCAAAAACGTTGTTGGGGACAGTGTCAAGCTGACCAGGTCTGTGGTCAGCTCCACTGTCAGCAGTGCTGTGGAGGCTGCCCAGGGTGCCAAGGAGCTGGTGACCAGCAAGGTGACAGAGGCTGTGGATGTCACCAAGCACATGGTGGAGGACAGTGTTGACAGGACCAAGTTTGCTGTTGCCTCTACGATTGTCAATGCGGTGGAAGCTGCCCAGGGGGCCAAGGAGCTGGTGACCAGCAAGGTGACAGAGGCTGTGGACCTCAGTAAGCACCTTGTGGAGGACAGTGTTGACAGAACCAAGTCTGCTGTGTCTTCCACCATCACTGCAGCCGTAGGGGCTGCCCAGGGAGCCAAGGAGCTGGTGACCAACAAGGTGACAGATGCTGTGGACAAGGTCACCAAAGCCGTGGACGTCACCAAGCACATGGTGGAGGACAGTGTTGACATGACCAAGTCTGCAGTTGCCTCCACGATTGTCAGCGCTGTGGAGGCCGCTCAAGGGGCCAAGGAGCTGGTGACAGACAAGGTGACCAAGGCAGTGGACCTCAGCAAACACATTGTAGAAGACAGTGTTGACCTGACCAAGTCTGCAGTTGCCTCTACGATTGTCAATGCAGTGGAGGCTGCCCAGGGGGCCAAGGAGCTGGTGACCAGCAAGGTGACAGAGGCCGTGGATGTCACCAAGCACACGGTGGAGGACAGCATTGACAGGACCAAGTCTGCTGTTGCTTCCACCATCACTGCAGCTGTGGGAGCTGCCCAGGGGGCCAAGGACCTGGTGGCCAACAAGGTGACTGAAGCAGTGGACCTGACCAAAGGGGCTGTTCAAGACAGCGTTGAGAAGACCAAATCTGTGGTCACCTCTACGGTCAGCACAGCTCTGGATGCTGCCTATGGCACCATCACCAGCAAGATCAACACAGCCCTGGAGCAGGGCAGGGAGGTTCTCCAGGAGGGTGTGGAGATGACCAACTCAGTGGTGACCAACAGCATAAGCAAGGCCAAGGCAGTGAGCCAGGCAGTGGCTGGAGGTGTGGAATCTGTCCTGGGAATGTCAGAAGATCTGGTGGATCATTACCTCCCAATGACCGAGGAAGAGCTAGGTAAGAAAATCTGTACCTGGCGCTTGTAGATGCAAATCCTTTCCCATGTGAGTAGAGAGCACCTGACACAGCAAGACACAGCTTCTGAAGCAGACAGGTGCTCCGAATTTGTCACCAAGTTGCTGGCTGTCAACACCAAATTGCCACATGGCATGGGACAGAGTTCAAGCATTTGCTGGCTGGTCCTTAAAGTAAATAAATAAATACATGGGTTCATGCTTCAACCTTTCCATCGAGTCTGCTTACCTGAAGATTGAGCAGGGACTGACCTGCCTTTAGCACATGAGCAAATACAAACCTCCTGCTCCCGCAGCAAGCCTCAGCCTTCATGTTTTCCAGTGGGTGATCCAACCTCTCCCACCCCTCCCAGCTGCACTGTGTTCTTGTTTCCCCCAGGTAAACTGGCCACCACGGTGCAGGGCTTTGGCGTGGCCTCCCTGGAGGAGCAGAAGAGGCAGAGGAGTTACTTTGTGCGCCTGGGCTCGCTGTCGGGCCGCGTGCGGCACCGAGCCTACCAGCACTCCCTGGCCAAGCTGCAGGGCTTCAGGCACCGCACCCAGGACCCCCTGGCACGGCTGCAGCTGGCACTGAGACTGGTACCAACACGCTTTGCCCTCCTTCCTCCTGTCTGTAGCCTTTCCTGCCCTGCTATCCAGCTGGAAGCTCTTCCTCCATCCCCCGCCAGCTCCGTGTCACCATGGATCCTTCCCTGGCAGGGAAGAGCTTGTGCCTCTCTGTGTGTGCTTGCAGTACAACCTTTCCTCTCATTTTTCCCCATTAGATTGAATCTGTGAAACAGGAGGTCGGCCAGAAGCTGCTGGAGGGGCAGCAGAAGCTCCATCAGCTGTGGGTGGACTGGTGCCTGACGCAGCCCAAAGGAACCCAAGTCAGAACGGCGTGCCAGGCAGAGGTACCCGGTGCACGGAGCAGCCCCCCGGGGCCGGGCCCTCCCGAGCCCGCCCTGAGCTCTTCTCTCCCGGCAGGTGGAGCCGCGCACCCTGGCCATGCTGAGGATCATCACCCAGCAGCTGCAGCCCGCCTACCACCGCCTCAGGCTCAGCATCCACGGCCTCCCCAGCAGCATCCAGGAAGCCGTGTCTCGGGCCACAAGACACATCCACAAGCTCCACAGCTCCTTCTCCAGGGCTATGTCCTTCCAGGACCTCTCCAGAACCACCCTGGCCCGCAGCCAGGACCGCGTGGCGGAGGCCCGCAGGTCCCTGGATGTCCTCTTTGAGTTTGTCACTCACAACACCCCTCTGAACTGGATTGTGGGGCCCTTCAGGGCCATGGCCAAGGTGGCACAGGACAGCAGAAGGCACAAGAAGGAAGAGATGAGATGTGATAGAAAATTACCCAAGTTGGAAAAGGCTCCGCTATCGCAGGAGATGACAAAGGCACCTGAAGAGCTAAAGGGAACCAACAGGCTCTCAGAGAAATGGTATGAAGTGCTAGACAAGCTGGAGGAGCAGGTAGGGAAGGACACAGAGGTGGCCCTGGCTGCAAAGGAGATAAAAACCAGTGCAGCAAAGGAAGATCTCTGATAAATCCCAGCTCTTCTGGCCAAGGCTACTTGGCTAGAACAGCACTGGATCTTCTAATTGTGTGCCCACTTGTGCCATGGGTGCCTCTGCTGTCTGAATTTAGAGTCAGATGTAGTTGTAAGGAGGTCTGATAACCAAGGTGGGGAGATTCTCAATCTTGATTTACTGTTTTTAAATCCAACTGCTGTGCTGAAAGGGGAGATGGGACCTGCACTGCAGCTTTTTAACTCAGCCCAGCTGTAGCTGTGAGTGCCTAAGAATTGCTGAGACAAGTTGTGGGAGAGAAGCGATCTCAATTTGTTTTTAATGCTGGACTTGTTTTTAATTTGCCCAAGCTGTGGAACTCTTGAGAAGATGCTATGCTTGACCTTTGATACCATCTCCCACCTTCTCCACATTTAAAAATACAGGTTCAGACACAACTGCCTTTGTGCCTGTTGTGCTTCTGGGAAGGCTCGGTCCTGCAGCACATCTGGCACAGCTGGGGGCAAGGAGCTCAAGAAGAGATTTCTCTTCATGGATCAGCCAAACTCTTCTTCCTTCATGGAGAAGCACTCAGCAGTGTGGGGTTTTCCTTAATCATCTTTCTAATTTCTGTGAATGACTTGAAGGATTATCTGTGAGTAACTCCATGTGTGAAACACTTCACAGCCATTAAATGAGGCAGCTTTTCCCAGGAGTTACTCTGCCATTAGGATATCCTGTTATTAAAATAGTGGGGATTTTAATCCAGGTGCTGGTTCTTTCCCAGAAAATGCTACTTTGTAATAATTCCTAATGTAACTTATTTTGGTAACTGTTCCTGGCATTGTCCCTTTGCCCAGGCTGGTGAGCAGACACTGGAATAAAGCATGACCTGTGTTCAAAACCATGGGGGTTTGTGTGTACCTAAAGCTGCGGGGTTGTGTTCTCTGTTCTCCTCTTACCTGAGCTGTGATGGAGCTTTGCCTTTACCATCTCTTGTCCCTGGCCAGCTGGTCTGTTCCCTGCACTTGCTGGAGGGGAAAAAACAAAGTGCCTTTAGCAGGTCCCATTCTTTCTTAACCAGAAAGACACCTTAATCGTTTTATTTTCCTGACTTCTGTACTCCCGAGGCTCAGGTGAATCTGTCCATGTCCCCCTGCTCCTCCTCACCCCTGCATCCTGGGCTTTGCACTGCTCGTCCCTATTCCAGCAGTGCCCGCAGGGGAAGCTCGGTCCCTGCCTGTCCCCAGCGCTCTGTGTCACCTCAGGCTGGGGAAGGTGGGGGTGGCTCACCCGGGCAGGGCACTCGTGCTGAGGTTCCCGGTGTTCTCCCGGTGCCCGGTTCCTGCTCCGCCCCGCTCTGCCCCGCCCGCGCTCATCGGCCCGCGCCGCTTCCGCGTGTCCCGGGCACCGGCCGCAGGTAGGCTGCTCCCCTCCTTCCCTTCCATTCCCTCCCTTCCCGGCTGCTCCCCTCCTCCCCTTCCCTTCCATTCCCTCCTTTCCCGGCTGCTCCTCTCCTTCTCTTCCGTCCCTTCCCCCTTCCTTCCCTTCCCTTCCATTCCCTTCCCCTCCCGGCTGACCCACCCCTTCCTTCCCCTTCCTGCAGCCCGGCCGTGCCACCCCGGCCCCTCCCGGGAAGGGAGGAAGGGCAATTGGGCAATTGCAGGCTTTTCATGAGACAGGAAAACAAAACTGAAATTGGAAAGTTTCTCTCTAACTGAGTTATTTGGGGGCGTTTGCTGGAGCTGCCTTTAAATAGGGAAATATTGTGCAGCAGGCTCAGGCAGCGCCCGGAGCAGTGTGGGACCCCACTCCTCCCCTCCAGACACTGCTGTTGTTTAATTAAAATCCCATCAGAGGCCTGGGGTGAGTGCAGGGGCTCCGGGATCACCTGTGGACGGGGATATGAAGTCTCCCAATGAAAGCAGGACGTGGAGCTGCTGGGACAGAGTCCAGAGGAGGCCCTGGAGCTGCTCCAAGGCTGGAGCCCCTCTGGAGCCAGGCTGGGAGAGCTGGGGGTGCTCACCTGGACAGGAACAGCTCCAGGGGGAGCTCAGAGCCCCTTGCAGGGCCTGAAGGGGCTCCAGGAGAGCTGGAGAGGGACTGGGGACAAGGGATGGAGGGACAGGAGCCAGGGAATGGCTCCCACTGCCAGAGGGCAGGGCTGGGTGGAATATTGGGCAGGAATTCTTTCCTGTGACTCTTCCCTGGTAACACAGGTTATTGGCTGGCAAGGGTTTCCTCTACACCAGTTTCATTCTTTGACTGCCAGCACAAGGAGCCTGCAAGACCCCCTGGAACCAGCTGCCTGAAGGAGACATTAGGATTTACCTAAATATAGCATTATTTCATCAATTATCTTAAACCAGTTGTAATTAATGCGAAATGAATGCAAAGAATGTGCTCTCTTTGCTTAATCACAGAGTTGGAATAATGCACAGAGCAGTGGCACAACTGCAGGCACGGAACAGATGCAGAAACATTTGGGAGGTGTGAGAGAGAGCCTGGCAGCTCCAGAGCACCCCCAGTGCCCACAGCACCCCTCTGAACGCTGTCCTCTGTTCTCCTCACAGACTGCCAGCACTGAGAGACCCCGGGCACTGAAGGTTTGTGTGGTACCAGGAGTGTGAGTGGGGCACTGCCAACCCTCTGCCAGAAGATGCTTTTCCCATCCCTGCTCCAGTCCGTGCTCTGGGCCAGCAGCTGCTGAGATGGCACAGAGCGCTGAGCTGCAGCCCAGCTTTGAGGACGTGTTCAACATCCTGTCCCAGGTCCCAGCAGAGAAACTGCTGAGCCTCAAACTCAGACTGAAGTACCTGATACCTGGGCCCTGCAGCAAGTTACTGCAAGCCATGGTCCTGCTCACTCTGGGGCAAGAAACGGATGCAAGAATTTGTCTGGATGCCTTGAGGGACAACCAGGCAGCCCGGTACGTCCAGCAGATCAAACTGGGCACTGCAGGAGTGCAGGAAAACGGAGAGGATTTGCAGCCTCCCCAGCTGGATGCAGGTGCTGTGGCACTGCTGGCACAGGTGTACACAGTGCTGGCACAGGAACAGCTGTGCAGTCCTGAGGCCAGGGACAAAGCCTGCCACGCCAGCAAGGACACCCAGCGGGGGACATCCAACAATATCCCACCCAAGGAACAGGACAACGAGGGCTCTGCAGCCAGCGGGGGCTCAGGGGACAGCTTTGGGACACTGAGATCCCATGAGGACGCAGGATTTCCCCACACAGCCGGCTCCCACTGCATGGTGAGGAGCTCACCAGTGGAGATCAGAGGCAGCTCAGACCTTTCAGGCCCACGGACCCTGTGCTCTGTGGGGAACTCCTCTCTGTCCAGCTGTCTGGAGATCAGTGCATCACCAACAGCTGCTTTTCACACCCAGCCCTCTGTCCCTGAGTGTGTCCCCTGGCCCAGCCATGCTGGACACCCCAATGGGGACACAGAGAGCCACGACCCACAGGAATCCAGCTGGGCCAGCACACCCAGCCCTGCCCCTCCTGGGCAGGGCACAGCTGCTCAAGGGCCCCAGCCAGAGGAGGTGCTGCAGGTCAGTCCCTGTCACCCCAGCCCTCTCCCCGTTCCTGAGACACCACTGCCCTCAGAGCCTGCCCAAAGCAGTGACGTGTCCAGCACAGTGACAGAGCCTCACACAGCGAGGGAAAAGCAGCATGAAAAGCAGGATGAAAAGCAATTACCTGCTGATGTCCCTGACTCAAGGGCTGCAGTGGATACTGCCCCTGCCCTCACGTCCATACAGGGCTCCTACATTCCAGCAGCCATTCCCTGTAACTCTGCTTCTATTTCAACCCATTCCCTTCCTCCTCCTACTTATTCCTTCTCCTCAACTCTTCCTCCTCTTCAGGAATCTCCCTCCAAACTATCATATCCCCTTCCCCTGCCTTCATCCCCCTCTCCAGCCAGGCCTCTTGCTCCCCCAGCCACGGATCCAGCAGAGCCAGATGGTGCCAAGTTCTTCTCGTTTGTTGTCCTGCATGCCAGTGAAGATGAGCTTGTGGCCCACGAGGTCAAGGACCTGCTGGAGAGCATGGGGGTGCCCAATGGTGCCACACTCAGCGAGGATTTCTTCATCGCCGGGCGCAGCCACATGAGCTGCTTCCAGGACGCCATGGAGAACTCTGCCTTCATCATCCTCCTGCTGACCAAGAACTTTGCCTGCAAGCTGTGCCTGTACCACACAGACACTGCTCTGATGCAGTCCATCCTGGACCCCTCCAAGGCAGACTCAGTCATCCCATTTCTACCCAAGGCAAACACTCTGGAGGACAACAAGATCCCCAAGATGCTCAGTGCGCTCGTCATCCTGGATGAGAGCTCTCCTCTCTTCTCCAGGCAAGTGCAGAACACGTTTAAGCCCAAGAGGATCACTGAGAAGAAAGCCATGTGGGAGCAGCTGCAGAGGGAGAAGAAGGCCATGTGGGAGCAGCTGCAGAGGGAGAAGCTCCAGGCACGCTGGGAACAGCACCAAGCCCAGCAGAACCTGGCTGCCCTGAGCCTGGGCTCCCCTCCCTGGGTGCCCCCAGCAGCAGCAGGGCCACCATGGCCACCAGGGCCATCAGCCCAACCCTGGTGTCCCCCTGCCCCCCTGGACCCCCCTCCTGCTCAGAGGGGTCCTCTCCCTTCCCAAGCACAGCTGCCCCCAGGCCACTACAGCCTCACACCAGGCCAGGCACCCCTCATCATCCAACATGCCAGCATGGTTCAGATCGGGAACCACAACTTGATGCAGGTGGGAACTGCCCCACCTGGGCCAGGGCACAGCCAGGAGCAACCCAGGCACAACCTCTGACCCAGAGACAAAATCCATTTCAAATCCTGGATTACAGTGATCCTACTGGGACTGTTGTTCCATGCATTTTCCTGAAGCACAAAAGAAAATTCTTCAATTTTTGTTGGAAAAAAGGTGTGGTGATCTCTTGAAAATGTTTTTCCTTGTGCTTATTTTCAAATAACTGAGAAAATTATTTTCTTGATTGTCTGGAACTACTTGAAGATTTTATAAATAAATTTTAATTAATTTATTTGTGTTCCTCTGGTTCTTTCCTGAAGAATTAGAAAAGGGATTGTCAGGGATATATGGAAAACTATTCTGCATGTTGGCTGGAGGGGCTGGGAGATGGCACTGCCCAAATGACTTGAGGGCCAATCTGCAAGGGATGCTTTGGGAAGCTGCCTTTAAGGAAAAAGCAGAATGAAAAACCAAAACCGGTGAGCAGAATAATGCAGAAGGGTGGAGAAATCCAGGAATGGAGAGTGGGAGGGGAAATTTTGCAGGATCTGAGCAAGGGATCTACCAGGGTCGTGCCTACTGAGCTTTAACACCAGGAGGGCACCTGGAGCAAAGCCCTCGCTGCTCCTGCCATGCACAGCCATTTTCCTGATCGTCAGCAGAGGTCACCCCAAAGCCAGGGAGAGACGGAAATGGGGCTGTTCCCTCCTGGAGCAGAGCCTGGAGCCAGCTCAGCCTGTCCAGGAGCCACTCCCTGCTAACGTGGCTGGGATCAGCACAGGGAAGTGACCCC